AAAATGGTTTCTTTTGCAAACACTACGCAACTTAGGTATAGGTAAAGCTATTAAAAAATTGTAGGGGTCTACAGAAAGGCATCTAATGAAATCATAAAAAACAGGGTGTTCTATTTGAAAAAGTCGAGATTTTTCATATTTTAAATTATCAGGTTTGGCATGATTTTTTTTGTCCCCTTTTTGCAGGTCTTTTGATACGTTTTTTGAAAGAGCCATCTTCACTCTCCAGTTCATGAAAAAAAAATTCTAGCTGTCATACAATCATAATTATGTCAACTACTAGAAGTGACAAAACATAAGAAAAAAAATGAAAAATCGATTATCTCGAAAACTATAAAAATTTTAATAGGGATCATAACACAAAGTCCCGTAAATTTTTCACGTAGAATTCGATAATGCCATAAAAAATATAGTTTCCATTTAAAAAAATTAAGTTGGCACCTGCCCAGGAAAAACTGAACACCCTGTATATGCAAATATATTTTCATTTTGTGCAGTTCGGGAAAGTAGACAACTCTGTAGAAAAAAATTAAGTTATATCTTTTATTAACCTAGATATTGGACTAGGTGTATAATGGTATATGCATAGGTACATATTAAAAACGATAGGCACCTTTTACCGATCGAAAGCAATTGCACCTAAAGCAATTATTGTCTGTAATAGGTACCTAATACATATTCATAGAGTAAACAATAGATATGTGTCACCCTCCATATCACAATGGTGTAATGTTATTTTACTGCGTCTCCAAGGAAACAGATAGTGGCTAATGCAGTTTTCTGTAAAAATTATATATTGAAGAAAATCGTTTTTAAAATGAATCATTAAATTTAAAGTTTTATTACCTCTTTCTTTTTTGCTTTTGCTACATTTTAATATATTCTAGGCAAACAACAATTAGGTCAGGTTGATATACTTAACGTATTAATAATTCTGAAAGTAAGTAACTGCCACCTTGTTTATGGTGTTTTTTAATTAATTTGATAATTACTACTTTCAAGTATATTTATTAAATAGTTTGTTTCTGGTATTCTCTATGAAAGATTACAAAACACCGTTGCTTCAATAATAATCATAAATCATTAATTTTTTTTTACATATTTGACATCTACTTTCTCGCTCAAAATTTTTTGGGAATCTAACATTAATACTAAAATAGAACTTTTCATTTATTGATTTTATCAGTTTTTTATCATCATGCTCATCTAAAGAAATTAAAATAATTAAATATAAAGCTTCATAACTAACTAACGACGTTAAATTAATTATTAATTGTGATGGAGTAGGTCAAAGCATTAAAAAATTTAAAAAAAATCAAAATAATAGTAAAAATCGAGTATTGGGGTTGCCTATATTTCAGACTACAAAGAACAAAAAATAGACACATTTATATTCCAACAAATTTTTTTAAAATATCGGAAAGAAATAATAATTTTTTAACGCTGCATTGGGCAAAAGACAGGCTAAGGTAACAAAGCAAAAATGAAATGAAATAACCAGATATTGGAAAAGAAATTAATACCTATGTATAATTTTTGTATTTTACAAAACAAATGATTGTTGACATACCAATTTTGTTGAAAATTTGAATACCCAGGTTACCGATCATGAACTTTCCAATGGAAATATTTTCAAAACTCTTTCCGCTTATACCGGAAGTTGCCACCAATTTTGTTATTTTAAATAGAACACCCTGTATATTTTTGCATTTTTGGATTCTACGTTAAATTTTAGGGTCATTTTGTATAAACTTTTCCATATATAAAATTAGGCGTTTTCAAGATAATCCGATTAAAAAAATTGCATGCAGCACTGTTGGCTTCAAAAGTATATGCATCAGAAACAGTTCACGCGGAACTCTTTATTTTTGGGATAATGAACGTAGAAGTCAGAAGAAGAAGATGTTTTCAAAATTAGCCAGATTTATAGAGGGCTCTGAAAAGTAATTGACAAACCCGAGGAAATTCAAATATGTGTGTCATTAAATGGAACACCCTGTATATTTTCGCATTTCTGAATTCACTAGAAAAATCTACATAAGAAGATACAAGGGTTGCTATAGTTACTCTTGATGGTTTATGGGTTTATAACCACTTTTCTATTTAAAATGCTAAAAATCATGAGAAAACACAGTTACCTATGAAAACAAAAGGCCCTGTCAAAGCACCAAAAAAGACTCACTGACGTTTCTGTGTTCTTAAAAATGGATGAAATGGTTCGAATAAGTGATATTTTAAACATATTCTTTATTCATGGCGAATGTAACAAGCTTCTATCACGGTAACTTCGTATCCTTCTAATAAACCAGTTGCGTGAATAACCCTATATATTAATTCATCTTTTGTTTCACATTTGCTAATTTAACAAGTTATAGTAGAATAGAATTATTTAGATATTTTTATTCACCTTTCCGATTTTTTTGAATATTTGGTCAGTTTGTTTGAAATAAATGTCGCAACGGTAAAAATTATATTTTAGGAATAATCACTTATTATATTCAAGGTAGTTCTGAGTAGAAGGACGCAATAATTTTGCACCTTTATTTTTTATTATAATCATAAATCGAGATATTTCAAACTTATTTTTTAAAACTATGAAATCCTTTAATTAACAAAATACAATTTTTAGAAAACAACCAAGTTTTCAGTTATATCGATTTGATTTCTAAGAAGGAATACCATATTACTTGACGATTCCACTAACGAATGTGAATTGAATATGTGGTTGCCACCGAAAATTATCATTCTTGTAACTTTTCTATTTGCGATTTTAGGATGAAAAGATTTCTATAAAACTTGTGTGGTATTTTTTACAGCGTTAAATGTTATTTTTCAAAAAACAATTGAAAATCGCGTGGGAAACTGTATATTTATACTTATGAAATCTTTAAATGCCTTAATTTGTACCTAATAAATAGAAATTGATGACACATTAAATTATTAAAAAATATTCTTTATACAGGGTGTGCAATTAAGACTAACACTTTTAGTGTTTGTCCCATATTGTATCTATTTTTTTTTTCAAAAGATTGGTTTTAAATGGAACAATCTGTACATGGAACAATTTTTAATTTAACTGTTATTTATACCTTTATTGTAGTTTAACTTAAATTTAATAATGATAATATGAAGTTGAAAATATTCATAGTGTTGCAATGAAGAATGTCTTGCAGAAAGATACATGGTGTTCTATTTAAAAAAACGTATTTTAATTAATTATTCAATTATTGATAATATGATATTAATAATCCCTCTAATTTCAGACCTATCTCTGTAATACCTCATGTATCTTTGTAAGATATATGAAACTATCTTAAAAATACAAATAACTAATTATTTTGAGACTCAGGGACTTTTCAATCCTCAACAATTCGGTTTTCGAAGTAATCTATCGACCACACTAGCCATAGATTGTCTAACATCCACAATAAACAATAGTTTTGAAGAAGGGAAATACGTTGCTAGTCAATTTTTAGATCTGACAAAAGCTTTCGATTGTGTATCACACGAAATTCTTATACATAAGCTACATAATTATGGTTTTTCATCGTACAGTTCGGATTTATTAAGACCATATTTGAGTAATAGATTACAGTATGTTGTATATAATAATGTGAAATCATCCATAAAAGATGTTGAACATGGAGTTCCACAAGGTTCCATATTGGGTCCGTTACTGTTTTTGATATATATTAATGATTTTCCTAATTGTTTACCTTATGATACTAAAAGTATACTCTTTGCTGATGATACCAATATAACTAGAACCAACTTAAACTTTGAACAGTTAATGACATCAACTTATGACCAACATGCATCGGTAGAAAACTGGTTTACTAGTAATCAACTCAGTTTGAATACTTCGAAGACCGAAACTATGATTTTTAGTCTCCGGAATATGGAAAACTGGGATAATCCAGCACGTGTAAAATTCTTGGGAGTTCATCTTGACCCTAAACTGAGATGGGATCAAAATGTTAATTATGTTTGCTCCAAGATATCAGAACATACTTATTTACTCCGGAGTCTCAAACGAAGAGTCTCAATATCAAGCTTGCTGATAGTTTATCATGGCTATATCCATTCCATCATAACATATGCTATTTTAGTATGGGGTCATGCTCCCTCTATGAAAAAAGTTTTTACTCTTCAGAGAAAAATTATTAGAATCATATCTGACCTTGGATTTAGAGATGACTGTAGAGAGCAGTTTTCTAAATTGAACATTCTAACTGTACCCTGTGCATATATACTTCATTGTCTTATTTATGTCAAAAAACACATAAATAACTTTGAAATTAGAAGTGAGACTCACTCTTATAATACCCGAAAGAGCGCATACGTATGTAATAAATTTCTAAGACTTACTAAAACGCGGGTCGGTACAAATTATTGGGCCATCAAATTTTTTAACATAATACCTCAACAAATTCAAAATTTTAATGAAAATAATTTTAAATCAAGAATAAAAAATACTTGATAAAAAATGCCTTTTATAGTTTTGAAGATTTTATTGACAGTAATGTAGCTCGAATATGAATGTTATCTTAGTATGTCGTTTATCCTATTTATTTTAATTATATGTTGTTTATGTATATTTGTATAACAGTTAGTTGATTGCTATCATTATGTGTATTGTTATTTACCACTTTCTTTTTTTTGGACGCGTGTAAACACTTTTATGTGTATGTAACACTAGCCTTTATAAATAAATAAATAAATAAACAATTAATTTTCCCTAAGTTTAAACCCTTTAAAGACCACACAACATGTAGGAATCTTTTTAGCTAAAGCCAAAAGTAAAAAGTTACCTCATTATAATTATTTATTACAAAAGTATGATTACGCCATACGTTAATTTGCACTCTCGCTCTAAACTTGGAGAGTGATGCTTTGTATGTGGATATTAGGAATGATTTATGACCTAAACCTTATTTCATTTCATCCGCGTATTTTCTTCTTGTTTTATATCTAAACAATGAAAGCAATTAAACGTTTACCTTTCTTTCCTAAGTTCTCCATTCCTTTTCCGGAAATTCGCTACTAGCATTTGTAACTCCTCGGCATGCTGCTCATACATCTGACCCAACTGCTGCGTGAAGTCCGACACTGAAACAAAAAAACGCATTTTAAAGTTTAACTAGCTCGTACAGGATATGCAGTTAGAAGTCTTGACACGTAACGAATTTTCAGATACGTGAACGTCAAAAACTTTATATAACATCATTTAACTTTGAGATGAAGTTTCCAGAAATGCATTTGTTTGCATTGCAGACTTTCTGGAATAATAAAAATATTAAATTACTCAAAAAATGACAGAGAAAATGATTGATTCTTATGAGAGGGAAAACTTTATTATAGAAAGACCGACACACTCCAGTCAGTTTGTTTATTAAATAAGAACATAGTGTGAGATAGCATTACACCAACTGGTGCTAAAATTGAGATTAAATACAGAAACAAAGGAACTGTATTTCTTGAGATTGAAAGAGTATTTGATCCTACCTTTTTTGAAACAATGAAGCCTCTGCATAGCGGCGTAAAGTTGCTAACACCATATGAGTTCGTAGTATTTGAAATGTAAATATTAGTCCTTTTCGACTGCAGGTTTTGTTAAAGCAATTTTGAAAAACAATTTTAAAACGATACAATAAATCAGTATCAACTGCTGATCCTTATTTGACATCACTTAATTTCATCTACATGGATTTATTTAAAAAACACACCTATTTACATTTTTTTGACAGCATGGCGTGGCTACCTTAATATTTGTAAAGAGAGGTAGAGATGTTTTAAAATCTTATGAGCTTTGACCTTCATATGTGCAGAAACATAATTCCGACCGTCACCTAAATTATTCTACATCCTAAAAACATTGCACCTATTAATCACAGTCTCTCTCGAGCTCTAGCGTAAACAAGCCTTTGATTCGATTACAAATATCATAATAAAATGCCCTATTCTTTATTATTTCAATTTAAACAATAAAAATATATATAACGAACGTTCGCCAGATGACTTTATTGATGCCCGAGCGCCTTAGCTCATTTCTAGTTGTGATGAGGCACGTGGTCTAATTCTGAGTCAATGTTTTCACAACGTGCTTATTAGAAGAATTATGGGGGTACGCCCCGCCTTTCGCTCATTTCGCGGCTCATGAGATATTAAAAGATCTCTAAGTAGTCAAATAGACAGAGTAGTTCAAATTTTCACGATGAATTCAATTATAGAGAGAAAAATATCATTAAGAAAAGACGAAAACTTAAATATTTCTATTGTCCTTCACACATTCCTTATTTGAAAAGTCAGAGAAAAATATTTGAATTCAGTTTTGGTGAAAATAAATGCAAGTTAATAGTTTTTGGCAATTAGACAAATATTATTGCTTCTTTTAGAAATCATATTTCAAAGTCTTATATTATTAAATTCTGTATTCAATAAAATAAACAACACATTTCATTGCCATCTTTTTAGAATTATACATGTTTTGTTATTAGCTGTTCAATTACATATAAAAATGGTACTAAGTAGATACAAATTTTAAAAGTTACTTTGTCTGTTACACCTCGTATATTAAATTATTGGCAACATTTTACAATATGAAACTTTCAACATAGATACTTAAGTTAAAAAATGAGTTTTGAATAATGGAGTAAATAAAGTCCCTTGCAACTTTTCTAAAGCCTTTTTAAAAGAGGAATTTTAAAAGTTTACAATTTGTTTTTAAACACTTCGTCAATAATCACTAACGACTTAATAATCGAACCAAGAGTTTGATGTAGAATATTTAATTATTTTAAAACTGTACTCCATCATTTTATCCTGCTTACACTATTTGTCACAAATTATCTTGGCAATACCTCATTACACATACGTGACCAGTAATTTTGTTTGGAACAGCAATTTTATTTCCTTCATGTTGGCAATTAAATTTCGGTAAACTTAAAACAATAAGATCAATATTACATTACAACACAACATATTATTTCACCGGCTGTGATTGGTGAAATTTTTCACGAGATTCTATTCAAACGGTTTGTCATTGGTCATTTTAAATTAATCCTTAATATTGGTGACGCCAAGATTTAGGGAATTTTCGTTACCAGTACCAGTCGTGCAATGTTGGGTTGTTTAAGCTCGGCGGTCACGTGGCTTGTAAACATTTATGAAGGGTCTGTATATCAAAACAGAGGTATTAAAGACATTTGTATTACAATTTTTAAGCTGATATTGCTACAACTACTCTGCTGTTTCTGCTGTCTAAGCGCTGTCAGGAGCTATTAATTTTTAAGGCTTCATACGCCCTCCACTGGTAAAGAGCAATGTGTAATATCACAGGTACTGTAATAGTATGATTTAGTGCCAACTAGGCGAACCTAAATTTTTAAACCGATAACATTCCTTGAAACAACTACTCTGCGACAGTGACTATTCATTGATGTAACATCTGCTTCAGCTCGTGTCCAATCTTCTCTAATCTGTCTTCAACTAAGACAACTGAGTCATTCATTGGTTGTCTCACCTATGACATATCGATGAGGATCAATAAGTCCGTAACCAATGTATATCGGGTGGTTCAACTGATAAAGGAATCTAGCTATTGCATTATATATTATTATATTGCTATTGCTATTATAGATATTGCAGTTATAATTCAATGCTGTCAGGGGCAGAGTAGTTGTTTCCTGTAATATCGTCGATTTAATTTCAGCTAGTGAACGATGGGTCTTGCTTTCACAGTACCTGTGATATTTAGATCACTCCTTGCGGGTGTAGGACGTATTGAAGCCATAGACATTGGGTACTAGTAACCATTGATATATAATATGTAGAAAACATTTATAGTAATTGATAAATAGATATTTTAACACTACAGAATTGTTCAAGTTAAAAAATATAAGAGTTTTCTTATTTTCTTTTGAAACATTATTGAGTTTTAGATCAATATTCATTACACAGACAAGAAGCTCCTAATAATGGAAGAATAGGAGAAATATAACAGCGAAAACCAAACAAATTTCGACTAATTTCACCTCGTAGCAGCTGTTCACTCATCTCAGATTTATGTGTATTAAATGTGTCGTAGGGATTATATACAACAGCTGGAGAGATATTCTTGTTTTTTGTCCCATACTTTGTTAAGCTTTTACAAAGCCTGCCAGTCATCCCCAGGGGTTGAGCCCAACTCAAATTTAATTAAAATTATAAATTGGAGAATACGACGTTAAATAAGTAATATTGCTTATTGTCTGAAGATATTTATTTGTGGTATAGTTTCCGGTTTTTTTATTTATTGGATATTTTGAAACGTGAAAAGAATTATAAAATTAATGAAATAAACTCTTGCCGATTCCATTAGAAGCCATTTGATACACAGGGTGTTCCTAAATAAGTGTCGCAACGGAAAACTGTAAATTCTTCTTGAAAAAAGAAACACTTTATTTCCTCTTCGATTTTTCTCTCCGGCTTTCGTTTTCGAGATACACGGTGTCAAAACATTATTTTTTTTACTTTTTTTTCTAATATCTTAGGAACTGTTTGAACTACAGGACTGAGCTTTTGTACACACATCTCCACGATTAATAGCTACTTTTTCGCATCCTTCTCGAATTCATTGGACGTGCCAGTGGTGGAGATTTTAAGGTATCGTAAGGGTTTTCCCCTTAACTTTTACGCCACCGGAAAAATTGCCATTTGAGCAAATTCTGAAGCGCCAATAAATTTTACACAAAAAGAGTTCTGTTGGTTCATTGCTCTAAAGTCAACCGTTTTAAAAAAAATTACTTTTTATGAACAATTTTAACGAAATTTAACAACAGATAGGATTTTAACTTAAAAAAACTTAAAAATAATTTTTTATCATTTTAGCGTTCAAAATTATGTCCATTGGCTTAAATACACGCATTACATCGTCGGATCATGTTTCTATGAACGTTGTTCATAATTTGATGGGTATTTCTAATTTGTTCCGCTGTGGTTTTAACCCTAGCGGTCAATTGTCGACCGTATTGACAGGTTTTTCATAGACAACGCTCTTCATGTTACCCGATAAGAAATAATCAAGTGGGGATAGAAAGTTTTGACACCGTGCATCTCAAAAACGAAAGCCCGGAGAGAAAAATGGAAGAGGAAACCAGTGTTTCTTTTTTCAAGAGGAATTTACAGTTTGCCGTTGCGACACTTATTTAGGAATACCCGTTTTGAAATAAAACGAAACAAAATATATAACTGCTTCACAGTCAGGTATCGAGTGTTAAATTTTATAGTGAAAGAACACTCAGAGTGGTTCATACTCACGATTCTGTACTGTGAATTTCTTTAGACATACATACAATCCGTACAATATTAGTTGAGATAGAACTCCAAAAAAAAAAAAAAATAAGACAGTAAAGTTCTGTTAGCGGAACTACTGTAACAATTTACCGCGGCAGAGGCGTGCCTTGAAATTTTCCGCTTTAATTTAAGAATATTAAAATATATTTGATGTAAAGACGAGTATATAAAATAAAGTAGATTTTTTTAAAAGATGTGTTTACTTCTTTTACTGTAAAGTAGAGTACAAAGAAATTATACTGAAAATGCACAGGACAATACACTTACGAAGAAACATGTCTACGTAACTGCAGAATTACAAAATGAAAATACCTATTCAATCAAAAGTTATTAACAATTGAAAATCGCAAAAATTGCATTTTTCGAGTTTTTAACGGCATTTATATCGAAAACTATGCGTTTAACAAAAAAATTGCAAGGGACATTTTCTTCATAAAATAAAAAAAACTAAGTTCTCAGTATTTTGCAAGTTTTTTGTTAATAAAAAACTTATTGACATCCGGGCAAACTTCTACCCTAAAAATTCGTGTTTTGCAGCTCAAAATACACAGAAAACACTTGGGTAACTCCATCTAAATAAAGGAGGCGATTGGGACCCCCCTGGCTACAGGACTATATTTGTAACTACTTAAAATAGTGTATATATTTGTTGTATATTCCATGAATGTAGCATATACACCTTGCACATTCACGTAGCCATATTCATTAAAAGAACTGTGACGATATTTAACAGACGTAGCGATCATTGGCTGTTTTTAACCTGCTTCCGAACATTT